CTCATGGCGAAAGCCTGCCGCCGACAAAGGGGCTGCGATGTTTCACAGACGCAGCCTGCAGCAATTTCGCAGGAGGCGATGCTGCTGCTGCCGTGTAGAATCCCAATTATGGAGTTGTTTGCGGTGCCATTCATCAATCTTTGTGATCATTTGCACCACGTGATGCCTGCAGACGCAGCGGACCGGCACGTGGTTGCACGGTTAAACTAAAACGTTGTTTATGTCGCCAGGTAAGGGCCCCACTGAGCTATGTAGCTCTTTTTCAGAAGCGACCTGGCCATCACAAAGGATAGCTCGGCAACCTAGTGGCTCATCATCACGTGGACATTTACAGCAGCCAAATACGATACAGACGCGTAATGTTGATTCTAAATGTGGAGGGGGAAAACCGGAGGGACCTGCAGAAAAATGTACGTGCCCACAGGGAGAACTACAAACTCCGAATATATGCAACAGACGTCAGGATCGGGATCGTACCCACGACCTCCTGTATACCGGGCGAGGTAGTTAACATTTCGCCACCGTGGTTGGTGCACAGTCCGCAGGAGCAGCAGTAACCAGGGCGGCCCGTCAGAGTCAAACCGCGAACCTCTGCCGCAAGCGGCGAGCTGCGTTACCCCGCTGGGCTGTACCACATTCGGCGCGCCGATGAGAAACGTTCGCGCATCGGTGCCTTCGACCCGATCGCCTCAACTGCGTCGGATCTCGGCAGCTCTGCTTTGGCTTCAGCAGTAGCGAGGTGGGTGACCACCTAGGCTTGCCCACGTGTTTGCCAGACAAGGGGCTTCTGATTGGTCAAGCCAGGGCAATGTTAAGTGTCACCACCCCCCGAAACCAGCCCCGTAAGCGTGGGTTTTCTCTGGGTAAGTGTTTCCTATCACATGCAGCCCAAACACTCATTACTGGTGTCGGATAAACATTGCCGATGCGGGGCCCTCCTGAATAAAGAGAGACCCGAGACTCGGCGAGACGACTTCGCTGGGCAAATTATTCAATCGCAATTATCAAATCGGGAAAAATGTCTCCGGCTCACAGGCCAACAGTGGGAAGAAGCAATTTGTTTTTTATATAAACAACGGACTTTAGATTGTTTTCTCCGAAGACCATTGTGCGAACGGTTTAACAAAATAATGAATAAACATAATTACATTTATATATTTTAAAAACACAAGTACAGCCCTTTGTCAATCCGCTGTTGGATGAAGGCCTCCTCATGCCACACTAGTCACGTGGAGGATGTTTGACCATACTTCACCCTGCTGGACAGTGCGGGCGAGTAAATGGACATTGCCACTGACTTTAGCCAGGGCCGGGAAATCAACTCAGGTCACCGGGTTCATGACGCGGTACGCTAAACAGCCACCACCTGCTACTTAGCCTCTCCAATTACCACACCTCACCTCCAAATTCCAGATGATCCCAGATCGCTTCTGGCCAGTCTTTTATTGACATTTCCCCAATTCTTAAATCCTTACACTCCTGGCTTACGATACAAAGATGGTGAATCATTCGCACAGATTTCTGCCACTTATCTACACGATCCCCCTCGGCGTCCCACCGTCTCCTCCTCCCATCCCCACCTCACGCTCCTCTCATCCTTACGCCCGGGGCGCTCCTGCGGCCTTCTCTGCGAATTTTCCCATCATCCTCCAGTAAGCGGGAGGTCGCCCATGGTCACGCGACCCTGGCTGACGAGAATTGGCACCGGTCGATACTCCCGACTCCTCCCCCTGCTCGTTCTCGTTCAGACTCAAGACGTCTCGGCCACCTGTGAGCTGCACTTCAAGTAACTCACCGTTACACATCCACTGAAGAAACACAAAATCACGCTAAACGCACCTCTGACGCCCAGCATAGCCGTCTCGTCATCGGGCTGTGGACGTTCGATACATTTTTAGGTCTCGCTTGAAGTAGTCTGGTACCGCCGTTTGCATTGAATGGGGGTCCATACATATATCTTTATATATGTTGATGTCTTTGTTGTTGCTGCGTGCTCACGCGCCATGCATCTCGAGTGTAAAATAGCCGGGGCAACCGGCTGAGCGGGATCATCCGTGCAACAAAGGAATCCAAATTCAACGTTCCAAATAACATCTGGAACTTCAGCGGTCGATTTTTCTCAAGTAGCTCGACTCGTCCAGAGATTGCTTCCATAAACAAATACCATAAACAAATACCTGCTTGATAACGACTATGGTGTGGAAAGGCACAAGGCTGACGAACTAAAAAACAAGTGCATTTATACGCGGAGACATAAAACGGAGTTCTGCTTACGTTGTTTGTATGATTGTTTACTCTGTCCGGTCCGGATGTACAGGATAATAATAATAATTTTCCATCTTGTAAATGACCACGCCCTGCTCTGTTCTCTATCTGCATCACTGACCCAATGCCACTTCTTGAAACCAACTGCCCCCTTATACAGCATTCGACATTAAGGCTGTGTAAATCGCTTTGTACTGGAACTAGAATTCTCTTTTATGCATGAATTAAGGCTGTATACATCGCTTTGTACTGCAACTAGAGTTCTGTCGCATACAGAATTTTCTCCAGTAAAAAGAACGACTCAAACTTTCGGGTCCACCAATGCTGGGTTGTTCATTTCTAGTGAAGTTGACCATGAACATAGCGAAATAATTGTGCAGCGAATTTTTGTTAGCGCTGCGCATTCGGTATTGACAGTAGGGGGTGATTATTCTACTTTGTAATCCAAATTGAGGAATAGGCAGGTTGTTTTCCAATTTTGCAAATAAAAAAAAACTAATTTTGTATCTTACCCAGGTAAGGGCCCCGTTGAGCGATGCAGCTCTTTTTCAGAAGCGAAGTGGCTGTCACAAATGATAGTTCAACGAAGTGGCTCATCACCATCATCACCACGTGAAAATGTTTATCAGCCGAATGCTCTTAACGCGCGATGTTGATTCTAAATGTGGAGGGGAAAACCGGAGCACTCGGAGACAAATCCACGCGACCACGTGGATTTGCAGGCGTCAGGGTCGGGATCGAACCCACGACCTCCTCTGCACCAGGCGAGCTAGTTAACATCTAGCCACAGTGATGATGATGATGATGAGATAGAGATCCACGCAAACTCCAAACATCCAGCAGGCGTCAGGGTCGGGATCGAACCCACGGCCTCCTCTGTACCAGGCGAGCTAGTTAACATCTCCTAGCCACCGTGGCATCCCAAATTTCGACTACGACACCGACACACAGTGACCGGCTCCGATTGAACGACAATCAAACTCATGCAGCAAATCACAAGGAGACGTGCATCCTTGAAAGCACATCGGTCATCACATTCAAAATAAACCATGAGCATTGATTGTGGGGGGGGGGGGGGGGGTTGTCAGGACCAAAATAAGCAGACAACAACCACGTGCCTCTTTCACTCGACCTACAAAGTAACGGGTTTTTTTACACATCCAGATCAGCTCCACTGTCGTCGAGGAGTACATGTCAGCAGGGGTTAATTCATGTTCTTGAAGGATCATTGCCTGGAACGTCGCCTGTTACATATAGATTTTGTTTTCCCCGTTTCAATGCCACAAAAAAGCGCGAATGGCGAATGCATTCAGCTGCTGTCCAACGTCGCCAGCATCTGTACCAACACGAGCAGCACCACGGACGGGATTTCGACAGCCGAGCACTTCGCTCTGCTGAGCCGCTCATTAATTCCGTCACGTCGGGCTTAGCAGCGGCAGCGGTGGATCTCTTGCAAGGGAAAGTTGGGGACCTTCTGTGCACGTCACCCTCACCGGCACAGCTACAACAAACAGCTCAGCATCCTGCAGACAGATCCAAGTATGCGAACACGTCTCGCGGGCAGGGGGCACTGGAACCTCGGCGGGGTTATTTTTGGTTAAACAGTACAGTGTTTCGCCAATTACTGTAGCCTTTTATTCACGTCTGAGTGACCATAGGCTTCGCCAAGCCTCCAAACTCTGCAGGCAGGCTCGAGGAAGCTTGTTGTTGTATAAACGAGACTTGAGAATGAATGCCCCCCCCCCCTCTCGCACTGTAATTACTCGGCGAAAGGAAGAGAGCGAGAGAGGGAGAAAGAGAGATGGGGTGCGTGGCAGTGATGAGGTTGTATAGGGGGGGAGGGGGGGGGTAGAGAGACTCTAAAACAAGCAACAGTCGTGGTGGAGACACCCAGCAACCCACCAGCACGCAAAGTTAACCAAGGTCTGTCTCGGCCTCTCTTGTGTGTGGGAGAGACGAAACAAAGATCCCGCTCCCTGTGGAGTATTCACGCTGTTAACAAGCACGTATGAAGGCCAACGCGGCATGTGAGAAGGGGGAAGGGGCGTGGCCACGACCACTCCCGGCCGCCTTTGTCTCTCCAAGTGCCGATTGTTTAAACGCGCCGCACCCGGCACTCATTTAAAGCTGAGTCGATATCTCACTCACTCATTCACACTCTCACTCATTCACACTCTCTCACTCATTCACACTCTCACTCTCATTCACACTCACTCACTCATTCACACTCTCTCGCTCATTCACACTCTCTCACTCATTCACACTCTCTCACTCATTCACACTCACTCACACTCTCTCACACTCTCTCACTCATTCACACTCTCTCGCTCATTCACACTCTCTCACTCATTCACACTCTCTCACTCATTCACACTCACTCACACTCTCTCACTCATTCACACTCACTCATTCACACTCTCTTCATTCACACTCTCACTCACACTATCTCACTCATTCACACTCTCACTCACTCACATTCTCTGACTTATTTACTCTCACTCAATCACACTCTCTCACTCACTCACACTCACTCACACTCTCTCACACTCTCTCACTCATTCACACTCTCTCACTCACACTCTCTCACTCAGTCACACTCTCTCACTCACACTATCTCACTCACACTATCTCACTCACACTATCTCACTCACACTATCTCACTCACACTCTCACTCTCTCACTCACACTCTCTCACTCATTCACACTCTCGCTCTCTCACTCACACTCTCTCTGACCTTGGCGGGGATGGAGAGGAGTTTTCGTGCGTGCGAGGAGACACGAACTGGGCAGGGAGTTAGCGCAGAGCCCCATCAGCCAGAGCATCCAGCGCATGGTTGACGGCAGCAGTGGCGGTGAAGGGGCCGGGCAGGGGAGGAGGGGCAGGGCTGGTTGAAGCTGCTGATGATGCTGCTCCCCTTCTCTCGCTTGCCTCCTCCCACACGCACCACGGCAGCCTCACACCTCTCAGCTGCAGCAGCAGCTGTCTGAACGTCCTCGTTTTGCAACACCGGACTAATGCTGGTGTGTAGTTTGTGATGTGGCTTTGCGGTTGTTGATCGTTGCGATGAATCTTATGGTGGTGGTGGTGGAGGGGGTGATGGTGATGCCGTTGTAGGTAGGACTTGAGACCTTGTGTGTGTGTGCGTGTCTCTTTCCAACTTTGAAGCGTACAAAGGAAAGAAACCGTCACAAAGTGTCGTGCCGGCACGTTAGCACCGCACCTACCCCACTCGCTCACTCGCCGCCCATCACCAACCAGCCGCGCTTTATTTATTTATTCATTCACTCCTGCCCTTGTAATCAGCGCGCCCTTGTAAACGTCGTTCGGAGGTTGTACGCGCCGAGCGTCGCCGATTATTTCATTGCAGTTGTCACAAATGCGAATTCTCCACGCCCCCCCTTCCCCCCCCCCACGGAGCAACGAGTGGTGGTGGTGCTGTGGCGATGGAGCCGCATTGGCCGTGCCCTGCGTGGCCAGGGACTCGAACCCTCACTCCCCGTGACACCTTCGCCGTGCGCAGGCGAGCAAGGCAGCAGCAGCAGCAGCAGGAGGAGCGCGAACCAAGAACCACCACCCACCACCACCACCACCAAACGCCGGCCGGCGTGTACAGTGCTTAAAAGGGCGAGCAGTGTGGCCACACTGGCACACCTCCAGCAGGGTGGGTGGGTGGATATGGTGGGATGGGCACCGCAGTGTGGGACCTCGAGGCGGGGGCAGGGTAGGAGGGAACGATGGGGAGTTGGGAGGGTGGGCGGAGTGGGGAGGAGGGTGGAGCGGTTCGGGGAGAGTTTTGTGGATGGCTGGGGGGGAGGAGGAGGAGGGGACACTGCCGGCTGGAAGAGAAAAGGGAACTTGGATGGGGGGGGGGCAATGATTTAGGTTCATCTTCACCATCAGCAGCAGCAGCCAGGATCAATCCACTACTGGATGTGGGGTGCTGGAGGGGATGGGATGATGAGAATGGGCGTAGGAGGCTCGAGGGGGCACTGCCTTCTGCAAGACAAAGGGGAATGATTTCAGTTCTGCATCATCATCATCAGCATCATCATCAGCCATGGTTAATGCACTGCTGGATGAAGACAGCCCCGTGGCGTCGGGGTATGGGGTAGGTGGGGGCTGGATGGGACGGGAGGGAGGGAGGGACTGCCATGATCTTCGTACAGCGCTGTGGCGTGAGCAGTGTACAGTGATCTCAGTGCTTCGCCATCGTTATCAGCGGTGCCTGCAATCGTTACCTCACTCACTCGACTCGCAAATCCCAGTGGTCGCCGGTTCGATCTCCCGGCCGCGGCAGTTGACAAAACGGGCCGCCATTCTTAAATCCACCCCGGGCCTCGTTCCTGCACCCGCCGCTATTAAAAAAAAACCGAACAAACATGTTTTTTATCCTACCAGGTAAAGCCTACTCAGCTACTATACAGCCCTGACCATCACAAATTATAGCTCAATGAAGCGGCTTATCGCGTGGAAATCTGTAGCAGACAAATAGTCTCATCACGTGATTCTAAATGTGGAGGGGAAAACCGGAGGACCCGGAGAAAAAAATCCACGCGACCACGGAGAGAGACATCGAACTCACGACCTCCTGCACACCAGGCGAGGTAGTTAACATCTCATAGCCACCGTGATGATGATGAGAGAGAGACACGCAAACTCCAATTATACAGCAGGCGTCAGGGTCGGGATCGAACTCACGACCTCCTGCACACCAGGCGAGGTAGTTAACATCTCATAGCCACCGTGATGATGAGAGAGAGACACGCAAACTCCAATTATACAGCAGGCGTCAGGGTCGGGATCGAACTCACGACCTCCTGCACACCAGGCGAGGTAGTTAACATCTCATAGCCACCGTGATGATGATGAGAGAGAGACACGCAAACTCCAATTATACAGCAGGCGTCAGGGTCGGGATCGAACTCACGACCTCCTGCACACCAGGCGAGGTAGTTAACATCTCATAGCCACCGTGATGATGATGAGAGAGAGACACGCAAACTCCAATTATACAGCAGGCGTCAGGGTCGAGATCGAACTCACGACCTCCTGCACACCAGGCGAGGTAGTTAACATCTCCTAGCCACCGTGATGATGATGAGAGAGAGACACGCAAATCCCAATTATACAGCAGGCGTCAGGGTCGGGATCGAACTCACGACCTCCTGCACACCAGGCGAGGTAGTTAACATCTCATAGCCACCGTGATGATGAGAGAGAGACACGCACACTCCAATTATACAGCAGCAGGCGTCAGGGTCGGGATCGAACCCACGGGCTCCTGTATACCTAGCGAGGTAGTTAACATCTCCTAGCATCGTGATGATGATGAGAGAGAGAGACACGCAAACTCCAAATATACAGCAGCAGGCGTCAGGGTCGGGATCGAACCCACGACCTCCTGCCTACCACGCGAGGTAGTTAACATATCCTAGCCACCGTGATGATGATGAGAGAGAGACACGCAAACTCCAATTATACAGGAGTCAGGGTCGGGATCGAACCCACGGGCGCCTGTGTACCTGACGAGGTATAAATGGTGCAGCGCACTTAGTCGATCAGCAGGTTCGCGTGTGGTGGGGTAAAGTGTGGGTACTCCGACCTCTTCCAAGACGTCTGGCATGCGTGGAGGAGTAGGCCAACTCACCCGCTGTAGAGGGGGCTGTCTATAACATCAGATAAACGTAATTTAGCAAAATCTGACAACAAAAGCAAATTCAAAGCCTCTCTTGCGTTCAATTATGAAACAAATAGTGAACTGGTGGTCACGTTTGCCTTACGGACTCGTGCATGCTTGCAGAGGTCGCTGTGTACTTGCGGTATAAGATTATTGAAGTTTAACACGCAGTAGGCTTTCACAACTAACATCCATAATAGGCGCTTTTGCGTTCTATCGGGCAAATATAAACGTGTCGTGAAACCTGCCACCACCCGCCTGATGATGCTCAGTGTAATTACTGGCGAAACATCAATTGTAAATAATAAAGTATTAAAGCTTTCGTGACTGCATAAAATTACCCATTGGTTTTTTCGGTAAAGTCACGTATGTAGAAATACAATAAAATAATATTTAAACAAAAAACAATCACGACGTTTCGATCACAACGCAAGCGATCTGCCTCCCTGTCCGTCTCTCCTCCCTCCTTACCTCTTGGTGGACTTGTATATGTATTTCTACTGACCGTGTACCTCGTATTTTTCATTCTATCTATGCTGGTATGTGCAATCCAAAGGTTGAACACGAAATTTAACACTCTTCTGAAATTCGTGGTCCGCCAGGAAGTGTCTAACTGTGTTGTTGGCCTGACTGGATGTACTTCACATAATGCTTTTTCAGGTTTGTTGAATTCTCGTCTCTCATCTTTTTGTTGTATTTACCTCCGTGATTTGTTCTTGACACCTGATGAAGATCGCTTGCGTTGTGATCGAAACGTTGTGATTGTTTTTGGTTTTTATATAATTTATTGTATTTCTACATACGTGACTTTACCGAAAAAACCAATGAGTAATCAATTGTAAATGTTGTGGGTTTACTCTCCTACACACCGGTGTGCTGAACTAGTAAAGAAGTGGCACGTTTTGTTTACGTGACAAACCTCACTATTTGGCTGTGTCGGGTGGTGGCGGATTTAACGACACATTTATATTTACACGATCTAACCCCAAAAAAACCTCTTATGAACGATCATTGAAGCATTCGAATGGTCTGGCAGCCTTCCAATTCACCTGCATTGTGTGGCCATCTGACTCCCTCCCCCCCGCCGCCGATATTTAAGACGGTCGAGAATTCTCTGAAGCTGAGGTTGGATCGACCGTCCACATTTTCAAGGTGCTCTCCCGCTGGCGACGACCCGTTTGGGATTTGGGCAGAGCGTTGAAACGGACGGACATTGACCCATCCCCCCTACTGGAGAGGCGAAGCGGCGAGGGCCAGCCGGCACTGGGACCCACGGATGACCTGCGCACCCGAGAGTCTACAACCGGCAGGGGCCAGCAGACGCGACGCAACCGAGGGAGGCAGCTGATCAAGCCGCCCGAGAGGAAGCTCCCAGGCGCGCGGGATTGAAACGTCGGACTTGGGAGTCGCAAAAAACAACGCGCGGGCACGAACCGAAAACGCCGCCGGGTGGAGCTGTGCACGTGGTCGGCGTTGAGCGGAACACTCTGGGGGGGAGGGGTGGGGGGTGCAGTGCTGTGGCTGTCCTCGTGGGTTCTCAGAGCCAGGTCGTTGTGGTGCTGTAATGTGGCGTGGGGGGGGGGGGGGGGGGGGTCCGGGCTGTCTTGGTTCCCAGAGCCGCCCCCAGCTCGTTGTGGTAATTCTGGGGGGGGGGGTGACCTTGTGCCGGAGGCGGCAGGCGCGGGCCTCCATTGCCACCGCCCGGCGGCCTCCAAGAGCGCCGTGCCCGCTGGTGCAGGCCAAGTGCAGATTGGTGGGCAGCAGGGCGCAGCGGCGGGCAGCGGTGGGCAGCGGTGGGCAGCGGTGGGCAGCAGTGGGCAGCGGTGGGCAGCAGTGGGCAGCGGTGGGCAGCGGCGGCAGTGGGCAGCGGTGGGCAGCGGTGGGCAGCGGTGGGCAGCGGTAGGCAGCGGTGGGCAGCAGTGGGCAGCAGTGGGCAGCGGCGGCAGTGGGCAGCGGTGGGCAGCGGTGGGCAGCGGTGGGCAGCAGTGGGCAGCAGTGGGCAGCAGTGGGCAGCAGTGGGCAGCGGTGGGCAGCGGTGGGCAGCAGTGGGCAGCGGTGGGCAGCGGTGAGCAGCAGTGGGCAGCGGCAGGCAGCGGTGGGCAGCGGTGGGCAGCAGTGGGCAGCGGTGGGCAGCGGCAGCGGTGGGCAGCAGCAGCGGCGCATTTTTCAGAAAAGAACTCTGGCTAATTCAGGTAAAAAATCTGGGGGAAGTGTACCAGTGCCAGACCCAATGTGAAGCGCATTGTGCCAGTGCAGAGCTGTTAACCCCTTTTCAGTGCCCTACCTTGTTCCAGACCAACTCAGGCCGTATTGGTCACCCCGTGCCCTTATACATCTCAACGTTCATCCTACAGAGTCCCATCACAAGGAAGAAACACAAACAAATAGACACATTTATTTTTTTGTCCGCATTGAAACGGCTGTACGCCGTGCGGACCTGAAAACTCAATTTCCCTGTACAAGAATACGGGGTAAACCGTATGGGTTGACAGCTGTGATAATGGGAGATAAACATCGTGTCTTTGAAGTGCGCTATAATTCCTGATTGTTTCACTTCTTGGGGAGGGGAGGAATTTGTTTATTTCGTTTTTGTTGGGCCACCCGGCGACCGTGGCGCAACGATTCGCCGAACGAGGGGGTCGCGACAGCTCTCCTCCGATCGATGCGCTTTTCAGGGTGTTTTTGCGCCGCGCGTTGATCTGCACGATGTCCGACGTTTCACTTCGCGTGCC